CATGTTTCAAAACACATTGGTTCCAGAAGTTCCAACAAGGAGCAGTCCAAGGTGTTTAACTTCCCAAGGGCCTCGGAGCTGCAGAGGCCAAATGACACCCAGGTTTACTTTATATCATTTGGGTGCACATAATTAACTGCAAATTTGTTGTTTTGTTTTCTGCAAATTTTCCCCACATGAAGTGCAAAATCTTCTCCAACTCGTGCCCTCGCTCTTGTCTTGAGCTCACGTTAAATTCGATGTACAATGTGAATGTACTAGTTTGGAGCTGTCACATCGTAAACAGTATGTCATTTACACAAACCTCCAGCCTATTAATGGCTTTTTATGGATTTTAATGTCAGGTTTTCCCATTAGTTTTCACACCTTTCTAGCACATTGTTGCACAAATCTAAAAAATAAACTCCAAAGGTAAAGACAGAACACAGCATTAGGGTAGAATGTTTATTAGAATTTGCGATTAGCGATGTAACATTCACCTACATGGCGCAAAGGAAGTCATAAATATGCCAATATGCAAATATGCACGCCTTTTAATGAAATGAGCTCGTCTCATCGGGGGGATGATATCCAAGGAAAAGTCAGTGATACACCTCCACGTGTCTGAACATGGTGGAATGCACAGAAGCTTGTCGTTCTGATGATACAGTAAATAAAAGTAGAAAATCAGCAACAGAGTTCATATCAAACGTTTACATACAAATGAAAAGAAACTTCAAAAAAGTCAGAAGAGCACTGGATATTAAGATAGTGAAAGAAAGAAGAAAAAAAAACAAGCTTTGTAATGCACTGCACTGCACCCGTAATAGTAGTGTGTTTCTATTTATTCGCATGGAGCTACAGTACTAAGTTGGCAGAAAAAGGTGCATGGCTTTTGTATTCAAAAGAATCAGTTTTCTTTTTCATCGGAAACAACGCAGGGAGATGTTATGTGGATGCAGTATGGCATTTCATTTATCTGACAATGTAGTCCATGAATCAGTGGTTAAAACTACCATCAGAATCCAGTAGTTAGGAGGTCTGTTTAGGAATAAGACTTGGCAACTCTGAAATTCTGTCGTAGGAAACGAAAAAAAAAGAAAACAAAAGACAGTAAAGTAGAGAACTTAGGAGGGGGGAAAAAAAGCAGTGATAACACTGTATCCCTGTGTATCCAAAGTGATGCTGTGATTGTTAAAAGCATGTCATGCTCCATTAGTGAAGTCCGTTAAAAGTGGGAACTGGCCGTCCCACTTGTTATTCAGCCATTTTGGGGTCTGGCCTGAGCCTAATGTGTGGGAGGGGAGGAGGTGAGCTCAGCGAAAGGCAGTAGTTGTAGTTGAGGTGAATACGATAATGTCAATGGTGAGGATCCATGGTTGGTAATGGTAAAAGAGGGGAGGTCATGCAGCTTGGGCCAGAGGCGAGAAGGTTCTGAAAAGCGCTCGGGGGAAGAATTCTCCGTCGCACTGCAGCCTCTGGCCTGGCGGTGCTTTAGGTGGGACACAGGACTAGAGAGGAAGATGTGACAGAGTACTTCAGTATATTCCTGCAGCAATTCAGGCATTTCAACATAGCAACTGCTAAATTTAATCGACAGTAATCCAATAAAGAACACAATCTTTGTTCTCCTAATTGTCTCTCCTTTGTCCTGTGTATTAAGCTACACCAGTTACTTCATATAAGAATTGAAATCTCATGTTGTCGCGTTACCTTTTAATATGTAGTCAGTCAGCAGTGTAGGAACCTTCTCACTGTCCTCCTTCATGGCATAGAGAACTACATGGAACACACAGAAAACAAAGCTGAATCAGTTTCTTTCATTTTCCAACTTATAGTACAGTTTTACCTACAACATAAATAATCACAGGACACTCGACAGTATCCTCCTAAAGCAGCACTTGCTGACAGTGTGGACCAGGGGTGTCCAATCCTGGTCCTCGAGGGCCACAGTCCTGCATGTTTCAGATGTTTCTCTCTTCCAACACACCTGATTCAAATGATCAGCTCATCATCAAGCTCTGCAGAAGCCTGATAATGATCCTGATCATTTGAATCAGGTGTGTTGGAAGAGAGAAACATGTAAGACATGCAGGATTGTGGCCCTCGAGGACCAGGATTGGACACCCCTGGTGTGGACGGACAGCTTTCTTTCAACAGGAACAACTTCTCCGATGGAACCGGATTTGGGGCAGCAGTCTGCATCCACCAGTCAGGATGGCAGGCGGATGTCCAATTCCCAATTAGCATCTTTTTATTTGTCTTTAATACAGATGTTGTGGTCTGGATACTTACTTTTTGTGAGCATCTGCAGGTCATCAACAGATGGAGGGGTGCCTTTCTTCTCATATGGAATAACCGTGTTTAGATACTGAAACAGAGTCAAGATGACAAGAGTTTAACATATAAGCTTGCAGCGGTGCAGTTTTATTTGTTCACTAATTGTTCTGTACTGATGTTGACACGACACAACGTTGAAGCCAAGAGCTAACAGTAATGGTTCATCACATTAGGAAAGGTAGGTTGGGTTATTCACTTTCCTCCCAAAACTTAGCTTAAGTACTGTGGAAAACAACCAGCTGTTAGCAATAGCTGGGGAAACGGCTAGCTAAACTAAGCTAGACAGCTGCTACATATTAAACATGATAGTTGTATTAGTCTACATGCAATAAAGCAAATGAGCTTTAACATATTTCCCAAATTGTTGACCAGTTCAGTCAGTGTGTATTTTTAAAGACGGGTTAAAGGCACAACCCTTAACCTCAACACCTGAACCCAAAATGCAACCTGCTATTGTTCCAAATCTTTTAAGCCCTGAAGACGCCCTGTGGTATCTCATGCTATGCTTGAAGTTCTCTAAGTTGTAAGGTGGAGAAGCCACAGATCGGACTAGTTCCTCCAGATGCTGGATTGGACTAAAATCTGAAAAAAATGGAGGCCAGGTCGCCTCTTGAACCCTCCATAGTGTTCGTCTAACCATCCCTAACAATGAGTATGCTGTTGTGAGGCACATTATCCTCCTGACAGTAGTCAATGCCATTAAGGCCTACTATTGTCATTAGAGGGTGCTGCAGTGTTTAGAATGGTGGCATACATCAATCTGATGTCCACATGAATGCCTGGATCCAGGACTTCCGAGCTGGACATTAGCCAGAGCTTCGTGCTACTCTGCCGGCTTGACTTCTTCCCACAGAGTGTCGTGTTTCCAGTTAAAAGTCACCTTTGTTTCCACATGATGTAAAACTGTTTGGATCAGGACACGTTCTTCATTGTTCCAAGGTCCAAATCCAATCAATCCATCCATCATCTATACACCGTTTAATCCTCACTAGGGTCACGGGGGTCATATGGAGTCTATCCCAGCTGACTTAGGGTGAAGGCAGGGGACACCCAGGACAGGTTGCCAGTCTATCATGTGAACCAGAGACCTGCTAACTACCGCTCCACCTTGCAGCCCCCCAAATCCAATCCATTTATGCCAATTTTAGACTGTTTGAATGGTTAACAAGGTTTAGTAAGGCGTGATGCACTGTCAACACATGCCTCCCATAACCATCACAACATTTTTTGCCGCTTGTGCAACCCTTCTGCTGATTAGGACCAGACAGTATTATCTTTGTAGCCATTGTGCATCAAGTAACCCGTTTCTGGCTCACTGCCGCTGATCAGGAGCACCCAAAAAGGCATTTGGTAGCTTTTGTGACCCATTCATCTGACCATAGCAGTCTGGTTGTTGTCAGCGTCGCCAAGATGTTTACGAACTTGACGATGAGAATTGACCAACCACTTCCAACCGAACTTATCCCAGATCCCTAAACACGCTGTTGTGTTTTTGCTTCATCTGTTAGTGGTTGTGAATTTTTGGCTCATCTGTGTATTTTCCACGCTGGTTTCGATGTTATATAGTTCCCATGGCCACCGTTTGAAGCTTATTAGAGCGCATTCAGAAGTACTGCATGTGGAATGTCATGCCTGAACCTTACATTTGAACTTACCTGCTTCTCATTCCCTGTGCTTCCAAATGTCTGTCTGATGCCTGTCTGAAGGATGTTGGACAGTCCCTCCATGCTGAAACGCTGCAACACACACACACACACACACACATTTAAGAACCAGTATTACAAACTACTTATCACCTTATGAATGTGTTTCTTGATCAAACTGGAAGGTTGGCTTTGTGTACACCACAGAACCTCCAACATATTTCAACACGACATACAATCAGTTTTATTGTGTTTATTGTATCTGCATCAATAAGCCATCTGTATATTCCTATTAGTTCATTAATGGAGCCTCAGGTACTAGCAGTCACCAAATAAAAACACTGCTGCTGCATTTCACGGAGGGAAAATCCATTAAGCTATTCCTCTGTTACTGGACAGGAGACTGGACGGGGATGTTACTGTACGCAGATGATGGGTCACTGCCACTTTAGGATCTTTCCTGGAATACACTTAAGAGGCTAATGGACCTGAGATCCATTATGCTAACAGTCAGAGGGGATGAAGAGCAGGAGCTGTCAGGCGCTGTGGTTTCACCTTTCTCACTGCACATTCATAAATACAACTCACGGAGGTGGAAATATTCATTATCGCATCATTAACAGTGCTGTAGTGACACTGGGAGAGCAGAGGTTTGGAACGGCGCTGTGTTTAAGGACTGAAGTTATGGCTCCTACATGGTAATGCAAATGATTAAAAGCTGTGTAAAGGATACAAGACCACCACCACCACTACCACCACCCCGTCCCTGCTCCTCACCTTGACAGGCATGGTTCCCGTCTTCTCTGTGCGGCCCGTGGAGGCTGCATTCCCTCCGGTCACAGGCACCGTCCCGCCCCCCTGCAGGCTCAGGGCCTTGTCCCGGCGTCTGCGTTTGCTGCTGTCTCGTTGCTCTTTCTGCCTGTTCTGCACCTCCATCAGCGCCGTGATGAATGTGTTCTTCACCTCCTTCTCAAACTCCAGCTCGTCACGCCGAGCCAGCTGGCTGACCAGCTCCTCTGAGTACTCGCGGATGGCGGCCTCCACCCTTTGCAGCAGTTCAACAAGCGCTGAGCTGGGCATAAGGCTCAGGCCTGCAGATGGATGAGAGTGGATTCGGGAGGGTGGAAGGGAAAGATGGTGTGAGTCAGCGAGATTTAACCAGGCAGGACTCGATCAACAAAATGACAAATCTGTGTTCAGACTTGGCTGTCTGGAGTCTGTAACACCATGACAATATCTTTAATTGATGACATGCAATAGCACAGCCAATGACATATGGGCTCATTTCCTATATGAAAGAGATACTAATTACTGACCAGTCCCTCCGGTAATTAAATGTACAGTGGAAGAAAAAAATACTATGATGAGCAAGAGGATAGAGAAAAGGAGAAATACAAGTATTTACAGGGCATGGTACTGGGAAGTTTGGGGTTTTTAACAAGCTGGTTGTTACTGAGTAAAGAGAATAAAGAACCCATCTATCTTATTGTAGTACTGGGTAATGTAACAGGCATGACTGCAGTGTGTGGGAGTAAGTATAGCATGAAAGAAGAACACTCATTACACCAACCCAAGATTTATCCATATGTCTTTTGCTTACTGCTATCACAAGTTTAGGACTAGTTTTGATAATGTGCTAATCAAAAAACATGCTGGTGAAGAAAACAAACACACCCTTGTCAAGTGCTCAGGTTCAGGAGGTTTTAGTGCCAGCAGTAGCAACCTTCTAGGGTCATATAATGATCCAATATAAACATGTGTCAGTAGCTGGTATTTAATGTTTGAATGATAAAGCTAATAAATATTATTTTATTTCTTTTAATTACACTGTCAAAAATCAGGTTGAAATGTAATGTGTGGCTGCTCTCAATCAAATGCTCATCCTCCACTGACAATTTATAAGAAAAATCTTGAGACGTATGTGTTTCCAATAACTTTGGTAGCTTTTAATGATCTTAATATTTTATATGGATTTTATTTTAATTGCTATCCTGTTTTTCTTGTTCTTAGATATTTATACGATTTAAGTTTTGTTTAACAAGTGGACCCTTCAGCCTGTCTTGCTTTTTGCATGTTTTTGTCTGACTGATAACACATCATAACGTTATTGGTTGTGTTATCAATCTGTCAATGAATTTCTCCAAACACTACATATTTAGCATCTGTCTCCCTTGTAGTAAGCATTTACTAAAACACCTACATTTTTTAATGCCCAGTTGGTACTTGTTTGTTCCCCGTATCCACCGATTCTTTCACTCCATCTGCATCTAAGCACCACTATGAGCTGGTGATTATTTTACTGGTACGTGACTCTTACAGTGAAACTACAAAGTACTATTGAGTGCTATGCATTCATTATAAACCAAACTAACAAAACATTTGGCTTCTTCTGGTTGTTTTCTATCAGTGTTCTGATTTAAACTCGATACATGTGATCCCTTCTGGGAAAACAGCCTGTTTAGTTTGTTCATTAATAATTTGTGAGGCCTGAAGAAATACCTAAACAGCATGCATTCTGTAGTTACATATCTTAAATATTGATGTGGAAAATTACCCAACCAGAAAGTTTTCTCACTGTACCAACGAATGAATGAATGTGTTTCGACAGCTGTGCGTGCTCAGCTCAGCAGCGCTCCGCCATCTCACATTCCCGCAGTGGTCAGGACAAATTAACGTGACTCCGACAGAGCAGCCACACGGACCTCCAATATGCTCAGCGACAGGGCACCTTATGGCAGAGAACACTGTGTCCTCTTGAACCCTCACCTATGGACCTGCTCAAATGGGATGACTAATCTCACCATGTGGATTACGAAATCAAACCATGATGTGTGCGGGGCATCGGCTGAAGTGAATATCTCGCCAAAAATGATGATTTAAAGACTGAAAGTAAACTTGTTGTGAAGGATGGTTATTTATTGTAGTTTCTGAATATGTGTCCTGGATCATGGTGTCGCCATAAAACTGGCCTCGGTGTTGGAGCTTCTATAAATAGTGGCGATCATGTTTTATGTGCACTTGATGGCGAGGACTCATCTGAGGAGGGTCTCAGCTTAGCTATTTTATTGATGTTTTGCTTGACATGTCAAGGAGATTAATTTCAACCTTAAAAGATGATGCCATTAAAAATCTTCAACCTGAATAATATCGTTGGCTAAAAAAGTCAGCAATGTTTTGACAGGAATGTGTAAGTTTCAGATAGAACAGGTTAAAAAAAAGAAAAAAAGCAAAATGCCTTGTTCCCAGCTTTACCTTCATAGGAGCAGTTGTTGTTGGAGGCCTGTGACAGCTGCCTGATCTCCTCCAGCAGGGAGGGGTTGGTCCGGGTGGAGCAGTGGCTGCTCTCTTCCTCATCCTCCTCCTCAGTTTCACCAGGATCTGGAGAGTTTTCCATCATCTCAACGATCTCCTCGATGACCTTGAAGAGAGAAAGCGAGGTAGTGAGGCGGAGTGGATGGACAGCAAAGTGATTAAGAGATGGGTGAGTAAACACACATCCTGAACTGTTCAGTAGCCGCTAAAATGTCAAACACTTGCTCTGTAAGCATACATATCACACTTAAATCCATTACTGATGTCTGAAGAGGCTGCAGCAGTGGCGGCACGCTGAACTTGGTGTTAGTTTTCTGTCTAAGCTGCTGCACCAGCATGATAGAGGAGCAGTCTGACACTCCACACAGTCACACATTTGTGCTTTTTTGTTGGACATAATACACAGTGACCGCTCACCATGAAGCGACACTGACCGTATCAGTGCATATCAAGATCTGGGACGTATGTGTAGTTTATGGAGTACCAGCTGATAGTGATCCGAGGAACCGGACCACGAACCATCTGTGACATTGAAGCTTATAGGACTTAAAGTAGGGGTTTCAAACTTGTGGCCCATGGGCCAATTGAAGCCCACCGGAGGATATTTTGTAGCCCCCTACTTGACATCAAAGTTTAACGTCATTGCCCTGGGTGTTTCATATTTTTTTATCACTTGAGGGCTACCGTAGCTCAGGCTTGTGACAGCAACGTGAATTCGCAACGATAGACACTTGAAACATGATTTAGGAGTGTCACCAAGTGGACAGAAAATACATCCTGTCACCCAGTGCAAATTTGTTTTTTTGTTTGTTTTTTTCTGTCTGTGTGAAAAGCTCTTCTCCGCCATGAACTTTCATAAGTCAAAGCACATGTCCAAACTTACTGATGAGCATCTTCAAGCCATACTGAGGGTCTCAAATGTTTCCTCCCTCAAGCCAAATGTGGCTCAGCTGTGTAAGAGGAAGGAGGAGGTAAGAGAAGACTACGTTCTGAAGAACCTTTCATATTCTGAATTGTTATTAATAAAGATTGAGAAGATTGGATCAACTGTACTTTTTTGGAATACTTGAAACCCTTTTTTGGGGGAATACTTGACCCAGACTCTACCTGCAGCAGCTCCCAGGTAAGTTGAGTTTGAGACCCCTGGCTTAAATATCTGCTGACCAGATATCTTGAGAGTAGAGTCAGTGCTTCTGTCAGAACCAACAACACAGTCTGGTGCTCTTTAGTAAAGCTGATAGTTAGGGCTGCTCAGGACCATCTGAGCCATCCTTTAGTTATGCTGCTATAGGCTTAGACTGCCGGAGGACTCCCATGATGCACTGGGCTCCTCTCCTCTCTTCCACAGTTATAACCACCATTACATGTCTCTATCTCTGTGTTTCCCTCGATGATGAGGTCCTGTGTTTGTTCTCCCCGTGGACGTCTCTGCATCTGGAGCTTTGCCCCTCTGATCTGCAGTCGCTGGCCTCACCGACCTATAAAATGTTTTCTTTGCCTCTTCTCCACCTGCCATCCCCTCATCCCCACTCTCACCCCAACCAGTCAAGGCAGATGGCTGCCCTCCCTGAAACANCCATACAACATGACATTGTACAGACACCAAACTACTAAAAGACATGCAAACGACCAAATATAAGACATCAGAACAGAACAGGGAGGACACGGGTGTAGATTTGTGCAGCAACTAAAACATGTTAGCTTGTAGGTAGAAGTTACAGAAGCCTCCTTAAGTTGACCTTCCTAAATGTAAACCATAATGTGCAGCACAGCTCATTACAGGCCTACCGACACATTTCTCTGATCTAAGCTGATGAGGAAGGTGAGGAGTGAAACGTACCTCCTGATCACACAGGTTGCCGTTGAGTCCCTCGGAGTCTGCACCGTCCCAGGTGGAGATGTAGTTGTCGGTTAGAGCATCCCACACGCTGCCAAACAGCACAGACACACACACACATGTAAGCACAGCAGCTTCCACAAGAAAATACTTTAAAACTACACTCCAAAGGTTATGCACTGCTTTAAGCTGGTGTAGTTAGACAGTCACACCGCACAGCAGCGTTAGACGAGGACTGGTTACAAAACGCAGCCCCGTCTTCAGCAACCTGCAGCTCAGTCAATAATTCAGTCAATTCAATGATGCTGGTCAAAGTGCAGAGCTGGAGGCTGCAGATGAACAATGCACAACTGAAAAACAGCACGGCTTACTACTCATTAAAAGGTATCCTGAGCAGAGATAAAGTCTTCTCACATCATTGTGTTCTCTGACTGCAGCTCGGAGCGAGCGTCCGTCTGAGGAGGAGTGACAGAAAGCTGGGAGAGAAGCCTCCTTTGTCTGTGAGCCTTTGTGTTTTTTCCTCCTTCACTCAGAGGTTGGCTCGGGCCTGCTGCCCTGCTCCCAGTGGCACTGCCCCCGCCTGCTCACACAGTGGAGCCCATTCAGCCAGCAGCTTACCTCACCGGTCACGCCGGCATGCCACGGTGGCACACAGCAGGTCACAGCTCTGGTACACTTAACCCTGGTAGCTTTAGGTCAGGGTGGAAACGTTTCCAGTCCTTTGGTTTGTTTCCTCAGTTTGATTTTTTAATTATTGTCATTTTAGGCAACTTTTATGCTTTTATTTAATTGTGGCAGTGGAGGAAGGCAAAAGGTAACGCCATGCAGTTAATGAGAGAACTAACTGGCCACTTGCTTCTCATTGGATTTGAATCTATGTGTTATATAGTGTAAACCCCTAAGCTATCTGGTGTCCCAGAGGATTTTTAATGTTTCCTTGAAGTTTAACCAAACTTGACGACGCCGTCCTGTATTTAGAGGAAGTTTAAGTGTCAACATCTTAATCACAGAGAAAACAGTTTTCAGATCATTATAGTTATCTTAATAAATCCAAATATATAGAATAAATTAATAAATATGGAATGTCTTTTGTAAAATGGACTTCAGGCCATTTATTCTATAAGAAACATCCACATATCAAAATATGACTAAATTCACTGTAGTGTAGGAATACTTTATTTAAAGTTTGTTCCATATGTGTGGAGTAGTGAGAGTGCCACATTACAAAAATGAATCAATAAAAGAATAGTAATAAAATAAAAGTGGAAATAAAAAGAAGAAGAAATAAAATATTTATTATTTTTTAATTTATTTATTTTTTTTATTATTTTTTAATTTATTTTTCATTTTTGTATATATATATTTTAAATTTATTTTTTAAATGTACTTTTATAATGACACTTTAAAAGCAAATGAAACATGCGCAGAAAAATGTGCGCAGTAGGAATATTGCTTTACATTGCCACATTATTTTATTATACTTCTTTTTATATCCGCTTTTATTTTATCATTCTTTTATTGATTTATTTTTCTAATTTGGCGCTCTCACTACTTCATACATATGGCTAATGTTGTTTTTTTCTTTTTAAATGAGTGAAAATGTGAATATAACTGTTGACTGTAATGGATGTCATACATCACTGATTGTGTTCTGCTTATCAGAGCCCTGTGTGTCAATCTAGTGATGAAAACATTAATAATGTAATAAAGTCATTATCTGATAATTATTTAAAAAAAAATACATAATACAACATACATAAATGTGTGACACAAAAGACAAATGTGTGTAATAAACAGGGGAGGTTTCATGATGACATCTGTTAGCTAAACGTTTTACCTGTTGATATAAGTTTCCAATAAAAACGTATGGAATTTTTCAAAATGACTTTCCCCCGAGAGCCATAAATCTCTACCTGCAGCACCTTTTTTTGTTTTGCACCAGACTCTCCAGATTTATTCCTATCAATATTCTGAACCTTTCTACAGATGGGTTTNATAAAATGTTTTCTTTGCCTCTTCTCCACCTGCCATCCCCTCATCCCCACTCTCACCCCAACCAGTCAAGGCAGATGGCTGCCCTCCCTGAAACATATTTACTGATAGTTCAGTCAAAGCTGACAAATACTCGACAGGTTTTCTCAAAAGTTTCCAAATGGAGCATTTGCAAACTTTTACACAGCAGTTTTGGGAAACATTTAATTGAAATGTAATCAGAAGACCTCAAGTTGCATTAGTATATAATTTTAAATGGGAAAAAAGTAAAAAGTTCACCAGACGCCATCCGAACAAAAGCAAGAAATGACTGAAACTCTCAGTGTGCTTGTAGAGATGAAGCATCATCCTACACATCCTGATCTCATCTGATGCCATCTGTAAGACATTTTGCCTTATATTTTGATTCTTTGCTTGAAAATTACAATTTAAACTGGTTTAAATGTGAATTAGGTAGGGCTGACCATAACGTTGTTCACTATACATGCCTTTGTCCTCAATTCTAATGACTTCTTGCTGGATTTAAGCATATTTTGGCCTCTCTGCACGGGTTAAATGTGGTGTTTGGAATTCATTTCAACATTAGTGTCCTCAAGCCCTGCTTGTCCTGTTGTAAGGCTATTGACCTTCTCATTTCTTATGCCCACAAAAAAGCAAGAATCTTCTCCGCACGCAGTTAAAATTGAATCTTACACAAATAATTATTGTAAACAAGAACGCGCTATGAACAGAAGAGTGGCAGGTATAAGATGAAAACCATTCCATTCTCATTCAGGCCCTACACTACATCCTGCTTCCTTTTTCTCAAGATCAAAAGCAGGATGCAGCTGCTGCCGTTCACACACACACACACACACACACACACACACACACCTGATCTGCTGTGATGAGAGGCTCTTCATTCAGACAGCTGGCGTTGTCATTCTTCTCATTCATCTCCTCTTCCTCTTTTTCATGGATCTGCAGAATGTGAGATGACACGTGATCCAAACATATATGATGCAAATGGTTTACGATGACAAGGAGCTGAAGTCCGAGTCTACGATGATGCAGTGTCATGAAAGAACTCGATCAGGAGAAATCAGTCTGGGTTGGCTGCTCTCAGTGATTACATACTGAGTCCCAGTTATCAGGTGAAACTAATCCTGACTTCAGGATGTGACTGAAGAGTGGGACGTCCTGCCCATTGACACCATCAACCAGCTGGTGGACAGTATGCCATGATGTCTTAGGGGTGGTCAGACTCAATATTAGTGACTGAGTGACGATTGAAAGAGTGATATTGGACATTCTAATGCATGAATATGTGTTTCCTGTTAATTTGACCAAAGTTGAAAAATCGAAGCAAAACCTTTAATCCTATTGGTCAATACCCCCAATTTAGTTTAAGCCTGAATACACAGTTTGCAAAAGTTAATTGTGGTTTAATTGTTACTGTGATGTGTATTGTATGTATATTGTGATATCAATAAAGTTATGAAAGGATATACACTTTATCTATCAAGAGTAAATCACATTGTCACAATCATTTCATTTGAAGAAGTAAAAAAATAATAATATTGTATTCTACCTTCACGGCCATCAGTGTAATATTTACATCATTTTCTTGTTTGCATTTATTTATATTGTGTTTATTTAATCATTTACAATACTAGGTTTTTGTACAGTATTGATAATGACGACGACAATCATGACTCCCTGACGTTTGACTTTGTACAGAACTTCTAAGACAATGTGTCCCAACTATCCTGATAAGTTCCTGACTTTTCTCTGGCATGCAGAAATTAACTCCCTACACTACTCGTTGCGTTACTTGAACACTACTCTGTAAATCACCTGAGATTCATTGTCACGAAATTGCCAGTTAACAATGAAGCGTTAAACCTCCCGTACGACCACGTCAGCACAAATCCCCATCTTAATGAGATCTGTCTTTTAACAAAACATAAAAAAAAAACAAAAAAACAACAACAGCAAAGTTGGTGAAAGTCAGGCCAAAGAGCGCTTCACAGAAAAACATTGTGGTGAGAAGTTTAGAAGAATCACGGTGGCCTGGCAGAAGGCTGTACTGCCTCATAGTAAAAGTAGAAACTACAGCTGACAGATAAGAGTCATTTATTACGCTGCTGCCTCCTCGGTGCAGCCTCACAGAGCTGCTATGGACCGTCCCTACACTCATCTCTGCTGCTGATCACCGCTACGTGACCACAATAAGACAGCCAATGAGAGATTTCTCCTTTCTGCAAGTAAACGTATATTGCAACTCTACGTTAACAAACACTCTAAAGAGACACTCTAGAAAAAAATAATTATAATTAAAAAAAATAGGCAAACTGAGGAATTCTTCGTCATCTGTGGAGCATTTGCAGCCTCTTTTGGTATCAAACTGTTAGCTTGGGCTGAAGGCAGGATGTAAGTGAATATGAGCGCTATGATGCATTTCCTTCACCCTCTGGGGTGAAAGCATCTGCTCTGGCCTTGACCAGCCCAAACATGGCCTGGACTGCTAATGTGGTTGTATCTGACAGCCAATTAAGGGAGGGGGGGAGGTGGAGGTAGGCCTCTGTTGGACGGCAGACCAGTCAAGGTTGGTCAGGCATGACTTCAAGTGTCAGCACGAGATTACATCTCAGAGAGAAGGAACCAGTCAGACGTCTCAAGACGAGACATGATGACACACGTGGAAATTTTTTGTGGCATGCACGTGAGTGAACTATTAAAAAGACAAATAACCACGACATGTTTCTATATATCTGCAAAACAGAGCAAAGGCTTGACTGTCTGAGCTGCTTTCTCGGGTTGTGAACGCATTTTGTGGCTCAAACCTCTGAGCAGTTCTGATAAAACTATTTGAGCATGAACTTAGGAAATAAACATTAGATCACAGATTTCTATTGATGGTTAAGACTTTTAAAGCTTCACACCATCCATACAACATGACATTGTACAGACACCAAACTACTAAAAGACATGCAAACGACCAAATATAAGACATCAGAACAGAACAGGGAGGACACGGGTGTAGATTTGTGCAGCAACTAAAACATGTTAGCTTGTAGGTAGAAGTTACAGAAGCCTCCTTAAGTTGACCTTCCTAAATGTAAACCATAATGTGCAGCACAGCTCATTACAGGCCTACCGACACATTTCTCTGATCTAAGCTGATGAGGAAGGTGAGGAGTGAAACGTACCTCCTGATCACACAGGTTGCCGTTGAGTCCCTCGGAGTCTGCACCGTCCCAGGTGGAGATGTAGTTGTCGGTTAGAGCATCCCACACGCTGCCAAACAGCACAGACACACACACACATGTAAGCACAGCAGCTTCCACAAGAAAATACTTTAAAACTACACTCCAAAGGTTATGTTCTGCTTTAAGCTGGTGTAGTTAGACAGTCACACCGCACAGCAGCGTTAGACGAGGACTGGTTACAAAACGCAGCCCCGTCTTCAGCAACCTGCAGCTCAGTCAATAATTCAGTCAATTCAATGATGCTGGTCAAAGTGCAGAGCTGGAGGCTGCAGATGAACAATGCACAACTGAAAAACAGCACGGCTTACTACTCATTAAAAGGTATCCTGAGCAGAGATAAAGTCTTCTCACATCATTGTGTTCTCTGACTGCAGCTCGGAGCGAGCGTCCGTCTGAGGAGGAGTGACAGAAAGCTGGGAGAGAAGCCTCCTTTGTCTGTGAGCCTTTGTGTTTTTTCCTCCTTCACTCAGAGGTTGGCTCGGGCCTGCTGCCCTGCTCCCAGTGGCACTGCCCCCGCCTGCTCACACAGTGGAGCCCATTCAGCCAGCAGCTTACCTCACCGGTCACGCCGGCATGCCACGGTGGCACACAGCAGGTCACAGCTCTGGTACACTTAACCCTGGTAGCTTTAGGTCAGGGTGGAAACGTTTCCAGTCCTTTGGTTTGTTTCCTCAGTTTGATTTTTTAATTATTGTCATTTTAGGCAACTTTTATGCTTTTATTTAATTGTGGCAGTGGAGGAAGGCAAAAGGTAACGCCATGCAGTTAATGAGAGAACTAACTGGCCACTTGCTTCTCATTGGATTTGAATCTATGTGTTATATAGTGTAAACCCCTAAGCTATCTGGTGTCCCAGAGGATTTTTAATGTTTCCTTGAAGTTTAACCAAACTTGACGACGCCGTCCTGTATTTAGAGGAAGTTTAAGTGTCAACATCTTAATCACAGAGAAAACAGTTTTCAGATCATTATAGTTATCTTAATAAATCCAAATATATAGAATAAATTAATAAATATGGAATGTCTTTTGTAAAATGGACTTCAGGCCATTTATTCTATAAGAAACATCCACATATCAAAATATGACTAAATTCACTGTAGTGTAGGAATACTTTATTTAAAGTTTGTTCCATATGTGTGGAGTAGTGAGAGTGCCACATTACAAAAATGAATCAATAAAAGAATAGTAATAAAATAAAAGTGGAAATAAAAAGAAGAAGAAATAAAATATTTATTATTTTTTAATTTATTTATTTTTTTTATTATTTTTTAATTTATTTTTCATTTTTGTATATATATATTTTAAATTTATTTTTTAAATGTACTTTTATAATGACACTTTAAAAGCAAATGAAACATGCGCAGAAAAATGTGCGCAGTAGGAATATTGCTTTACATTGCCACATTATTTTATTATACTTCTTTTTATATCCGCTTTTATTTTATCATTCTTTTATTGATTTATTTTTCTAATTTGGCGCTCTCACTACTTCATACATATGGCTAATGTTGTTTTTTTCTTTTTAAATGAGTGAAAATGTGAATATAACTGTTGACTGTAATGGATGTCATACATCACTGATTGTGTTCTGCTTATCAGAGCCCTGTGTGTCAATCTAGTGATGAAAACATTAATAATGTAATAAAGTCATTATCTGATAATTATTTAAAAAAAAATACATAATACAACATACATAAATGTGTGACACAAAAGACAAATGTGTGTAATAAACAGGGGAGGTTTCATGATGACATCTGTTAGCTCAACGTTTTACCTGTTAATATAGGTTTCCAATAAAAACGTATGGAATTTTTCAAAATGACTTTCCCCCGAGAGCCATAAATCTCTACCTGCAGCACCTTTTTTTGTTTTGCACCAGACTCTCCAGATTTATTCCTATCAATATTCTGAACCTTTCTACAGATGGGTTTGTTCATATATTATTTACAAACCTGATTTATAAAACGTTCTATTCATAAAAACATGTTTTTTTTCTGGCAGTTGACAATATTTTCTGATTTACAGAGCAATAAAAAAAAAGAGAGAAAACCTTGCTCCTCTCTATAAGAACCTTTGACTCTAATATGTCTACAAAATACAACAAGACGAATCATTTTAAAGCTGATGGTTCAGATTTCTGTCTTGGACGTTTATGCAAATCAGTGCACTTTTAAGAAGATAATACGTAATTTGCACATTTAATCATAAGGTTTCATGGAGCTAGCTAGTAGCTGAACTGCCTTAAAGTCCATTTTAAACAGCTGATGTGTCAACTCCAGTAGACAGTCGTGCAATCCTCTCAAAATAATAAACATGTTTTAAGTCTTATTCCAGATAGCTACAAAAATCTCACTGGGTTTTGTAGTGATTTCTGCATTAAAGGGCTGGTACAGGATTATTTACACAGCGAGACGCAGGCTGTGAGCTAGAGCATTACTGAAGATGATCGCAGTCACATGTCAGCTCATTAAATATGCATCCAGAGTCAGTTAGAGCATTAGGACTGAAGGGAGGGTTAAAAAGCCCGGCGCTGTGCAATGCTAAAATCCATTCTATACTGCCGTCAGGGCTGAAGCTCACTAGTAAACATACTGTTGTTCAGTCTGTTCAGAAGCTGTGCATTGGTTCTACAGTCTGGAGCAGTGCTGGTGGTTCCAGGGAAAGCTCAGTAAACAGGCTGCTGGATGTAGCTTCAAATAATGGACAGTACATAGAGTGGTCTCAGTTTTCCTGAGCAATCCAAATGAACCAAAGCTAAGCTCACACTCGCAGCACAAACCCACAGCAGCACACGCGTGACACATTGTGCATGTCGTACAGGGACAGGGTTCGGCTGTCTGGCCTGCAGGGGCTGGAACTCTGTGTCACAAAGCTGTCCTGTTGTGTTTGCTGGCCTGCAGCCACCGAAGACGACTCATTCTGTTTAATATTCTAGCTCTCCATCAGCTTTTTTGGACGCGCTCATATCTGCCTTTCAGATCAGCCAACTGCGGGGATTAGGCCAAAATGTGCCACAGACTGTTTTCAATCAAATTTAGATTGCTGATGATTACTTCTGTTGGTCTGAATCTAAAAAAAAATACATATATTTTTTTCCCTGTATGACATAACACAACACGAGCCTTCCACTGTTATGAACGCCGTCTTAGTTTCTATTTATAGCGGCATGTTGTGCGTCTGGGTGGAACCGAGGTGAATAAATATCAAAAGATGTGATATCACAGCATGGTCAAACAATAAGACGTTGTTCATGGGAGGAAAATCCAGGGGAGGTTGGGGCAGTTAATATGTATGACTGGAATGTGCTGGTTTCCCTCCCTGTGCCACAGAAAATCAGAGCATCAGCCAACTGTATCCACCCACTGCTCTGTCAAAGCTCTACTCGTCAATACAGACTTGCTTTAACAGCAATTTAACATGGTTTGAAATCATAAAAAAAAAAAAAAGCTGTCCTCGCACACCTACAGTCGGGCTATATTTAGCCTGGTTCAAATCCACACAGCGCGAGGACGTCTGTGTTTCCAGGAGGAGGGTCTGGCAGTCAGCTGGTGGAGAGGCAGAGGCAGAGCCAAAGCCAACTGAGGCGTGCAGCACACTGCACATTGAATAATTCAGCACGCAGCCTGACGAGGTGGAGCCGGGGAGGGTGGGGTCACGCTGCTGATTGACTGATCGTTTGCGGTCCGAGCGTGGAAATGTTTTGGCTCCTGAGCCGAGCCGCTGTGTGTTGTGAATGGCAGCAATGTGAATACGTTGCTGAGTGATGAACCTAAAAAGGAATGGGTTCTGTTTCATACATGCTGACACTCTGTGTTTTTTTTTTGTCTATGTGCTCCTCTTGTCATAACCTTGCTTATGGGTTATAACAAATATGGCAAAGAACACAGATTCAACTCAAAATAAGGGCGTTTATCATAACCAAAAGCAAACCATGTAACAAATAATAATAAGTATGGCGTGTGAATGAATGATTGTAGGTGTGAATGAGTGATGGGTTGTAAGGTGTTGTGGATCAGAAAGCCGGATCAGAATGAATGAGAGAGACAGCAAGAGAGGGATGGCTGAGATTCATGGGCCGTCCTGATGCCTTCAGGGACCCACAGGTAAACGGGATTCTAGGCTTCTAGGCAGCAGCTGACAGTGAGCTGTCACACTCTATTATTTTAGCATTATTGTGAGTCACATAATTATCCAACAAAACAAAAGTTATTGGGTTATCTACAGTTTATTACTCACTATATATCAATAGTTTTGTGACATACAGTCCTGTCTGGAACGGCGTCGTTTTGTGTCCAACATCTAACACAGAACTTCCAGTAGAGTTCCTGCAGATTCACCAAATGAAACGTTCTCTGACTGTTTTAATGACATAGATTAATTTAATAGTTGTCTCACCATCATACTGCCTGGAGTTAGATGGAAACCATGACGACGACATTAACTACACGTATCTGTTACGATGTGTGACAATAATACCTGTTAATATACACAAAATGATAATCTGCTTTTAAAAAAGAAAAGAAAAGAAGTAAAAATCTGGTCTCAAGAAATGTTTAAAAATTGGTAGAATATTATAATGTTTAAAATATGGTGAAAATAACGTCATATATCTGTAAAACATACAAATAAATATACTTTTTGTGATTTTGCTAGACATTATCTGTACTTTAACAAACCAGGGATCATCTGAAAAATAACAGCTTAAATAATTACCAAACATTTTTCATCTGTTAATGTGCATAAATGGTCTTTTGGCACATACCTGCTGTGAAATAAGCTTTTTTTTTCTGTCTGATTTAAATACTGTGAAAAGTCATTTTATAATCAAATGTTGTGAAGGAGCAAATTATTATTTATCAAAATACAGATTTTTGACATTAATCAGTTTAACAGGTAACATTTGAATTAATACTTTTTTTTCTGTGATTTTTCTGTGACTACACAGAAGAAAATGTTGAAATAACAGTAAAATCAAAATATTATGACTGAAATTATTGCATCTTGAATGCAGATGAGCAGCAACAAATAGTTGACTTGACTAATTAAAAAAAATTAATATTAGAAGTAGATATGCTAAACATCTGGTAGGTTTAGTTACAAAAATATATTTTCTTTGTATACTATAGCAAATGGCATATCTATACAAAAAGGGAAAATACAGCGACAATATTTTAGGATTTAAATGTAGGAGTTTTTTAATTAAGGAAACTGATTTCAGTGTTATTTTTTTTGTTCGTTTTTTTTTCTTTTTAAAAGATGTTTCTGACGACAGTAGCGACTCGATAATCTGACCCTTAACAAACAGAAAACCTTGCTATCTGACAGGTTTTTAGGAAAAACAAATGGAACCCATTAAAAACAGCCTTAACAGACCGACAGCCTTGGATTCTGACTCCGACATGACATTTTATGTCACAAATAAGGATAACGGCGTATCATCTGACTGAACAATCCAACAGATTGGCTACGTTCACACTGCAGGACTTAATGCTCAGTTCAGATTTTTTGTGAAATCAGATTTTTTTGTGAGTTCGTTCACATTTCCAATTAAATACGACTTGTATGTGATCTGCTGTGTGAACTTCATACGACCCAAAAGTGTCCCACATGCGCAGAAGAGGACACAACGACGTCACACACAGTGAGCGTGCTCAGTGTTTACAGAAGTAAACACGGACGGTAACGATGGAGCGTATCTGCCACTCCCCCGCCGCCACCGATGGCGGAAACAGAGCTGTGATCACTACCTAAACCGCATCAGCAGCCAAGTACTGCCTGTGTGTTCCGGCCACTTCCACCCGGTCAGAGCGCTTCCCTGGGGTGGAAGTGTCCAGAACGTGCACAATAACACCGGAAAATTAGGCATGAAATCCAGCGATGCATAGTGGTCTAACAATACACTATAACAACTATAAACAATAAATATGAACAACAAATGACTCTTCAAGCATCAAGCCCTCCTTGTATCTCGACCTCCGTCTTGACAATCCAACAGCCTTGTTATCCAACATAAAAGAAGGTTTTACATTTAGTGTCGGATTATCGAGTCACGACTGTATTTGTCCCAACCTGCAGAATACGATATTCCCCATTTTGTTTGTTTGTTTGCTTGTTTTTACTGAGTTATCCCTCTGTTGATTTGGTCACTGTGCTGATCTGACTGCAGTGTCAGATCTCTTCTGACATGAAGAACTGCACAGTTTTGTCAGATACAAGCAAACAACATGAGCACACTTGAACAGAAGATTATGGAAATGTCTCTTTTATAATGAGTGTGTGAGATGACCCTAAATCTACATATCAATCTGAAGATGATAAGAAAAGTGTTTATCAAGTGGCCCTTTCTAACCTGTTTTGTTATGAATATGAACTCTGGTAGTCTTTAAAAATTCTAAACACTCTCAGGTCCATTAGGATATCCCTGCACGCTGCAGGATGTACAACACACATTAGCAGAAGACTTCTGATGACGGCTTAAAAACCCCAGAAAGGCTGCAGTTCAATAAGTGCACCTTGTGTTACTCACTCTTCGTCCTGCAGTCGCTCCTCATCCTCCTGGTTGTGTGACTGGTTGCGTATGGGCGCCAGGCCCTCCGTCTTGGTGTTGTAATTGTGGAAGCAGACGTTGAGCTTCTCGTCGAACTCGTTGACCAGGTCTTCCATCGACTTGAAGCTCATCATCTCAGAGAAGTTCTCCAGCTCAGAGAAGTCCTCGCGGGTGATGGAGGCCAGGGGGATGGTGGTGGTGGTGGTGGTGGTGGTGGTGGTATTGGAATAAGAGGAGTTGTTGAGCGCTGGGTGGTCCAGCTCATCCATCCGACAGGGCCGGAGGTCCTCAAACTCCTCATCCAAGCACACAAGAGGGGCTTCCATGGTGTCCCCTGGTAGGGTTCTGGTCCGAGCCCTGCACCAAACAGACTGATGGTCAAACAGGGTTTAACATGCTCACGTTTCACTTTCTGTACTAATTATAAAATGAGGGTATTTTAACTTTTATCAATATTCCCTTACAGAGGCCACAAATGTGTTTAAAGAAAAATAAAAATTGAGAAAACACAAATCTCTTTTTTTTGTGTGAGTCCCCATCTGCTGGCTTTTCCAATACCCCAGCAGGATTTATAGGGCCTCTCCTAAATCATGGCTGCCTCACCTCATGTGGAATGGCACCATGATGTCTAGACTAACAGGAGATTAAGGTAGATACGCCAGAAGGGGACCATGTCCCAAAGGGAACCCAACCAGTTGGCTTCACTGGTAAACCACAGTTAATTAAGCACCTCTACTGGGATTTAACTGATGAAGTGTCCAAGATTCTGGAAATGAATTTATGGGGATATTTGCAAAGTACATTATAAACTAATAGTCTTTTTTATTTTTATTTTTTTGGGTGGGTTTCTCCTAATGTTAAATATCTGGGTGTACATTTTGCATGATAACTGTTCTCTTCTAATTTAGATTCAATGACACATATTTTCAACATGATACCGACTCACTTGGGACAAATTTCAGAAGATTACCTGCCAATATTGTTTTTTTAATGAAGTAATGTAAATGTAGTACGTGTACAAACTGACAGAGGGCCATAAGAGCTCCAAAAAGTTATTTTTTCTGATTTTTATTTTAATGTGTCCTCTGTGTATTTATTCCAGCTTGTCAACATTGGTCAGCTTGGGACACCATTTAGGAGAATCCAGTAAACCATGGTGCTTTCAAGATAAAGTAAATCATCTGTCCAAGTTACTATGAGTTTGTTTGGTGTCTCAGAATAATATGAAGTCATCAGCATTTTCCTTCTTAGATCCTAGTGGTCAATAATCTATTCATTAGCTAGTTCATTAACTATCTGAATTAGCTGTTTGGACACAGTAGTGTCCCGTATCAGACTGGATGTCAACTAAATCAAACTACTGAGCTCCTCTTACAAACAGCTGGGAGTAAAAATACACTTTAAACTTCAGTTTACTTGAATAAAAACTGCACTTCTGGCTTCAGACACTGATCACACTGAGACTAAATTCATCACATTATATCCCAAGTGAAGGCATCTCCACAATCAGAGCTCCGACGGTTCCACTGTGACTATGTTGTCTAATCATATAGGTGAGAGTATCGACTCTTTCTGTAGCTTACCGGTGACCCTAACCCTGATAATAAACTACAGCCCTCATGATAACGTCTCAGTAAGCATGGGGCTTATGTCTTGTGTAGTTTGTGAATTTGTAGTTGACACAAACAGAAAGGCAGCACAGTTAGCACAGAGGATAAAGCTGATGGTCAGTTTTACTTATACATAAAGGGGCAGGAACCATGAGTAACTATTTCATTTCATTGCACGATGCTGAAGTGTGCAGACCTGCAGGCCTTCTTCATTCTTAGGGACGGTGCTGCAGTCAGACTTTTAAGAGAAGTTGTGCCTCGGTCAGGCTGTCTGACGCAGTGTCATTACAGTACTGAGGCCTAAATTTCATCCTTTGTGCTTCGCTGGACCCTGGCCTGGCGTAAGTGGGTGAGCACAGAGGAGTCCATTTAAAAACAAGCTTGTGCAAGCCTCTTCCTCCTCATCACAGCACTCAGCAAAGTGCTGCTCCGTCTACAGCCACATATCGTATTTCACAATCTCACTACCTCTGCCTCTTCTCTGTGCCGCCGTCTTATTTGTTTGTTTGTGTGCTTTTCAAATCCACTTGCCTTATCTTTGTCTAATACTTATTCCTGATGTCTCTGTAAAGAAAGTGACTCATGTAAATTCAATCCGCGCAGTACAGAAATGAATCAGCTCCCCCCTTCTTCTTTTATGTGACAGTGACTGACAACTTGTGTCCATCAGTGGGACCCAATTAGTCATTTGGTCTACTCATAAAAGGAGCACAGACGGGGGAATCAGAGGCCGACTCTAACCTTGCCACGGGGATTCTTTGCAAATTAAAAATTTGACAGGGTGAAAAATCACAAATTCTAATAGCACTCTCTAATCAAGCTACAGTAGCTCTGTTTACCGCTGTGTCCGTGTAGCCGGCCGGACAAAATGAGATCTGAAATGACAGCACATTTGTTGTAGATGGCAGCAGCAGAGATGGCGTGGAGGTGTTTGAGATTTGCAGGTAGAGATGCGTTGGAGTGTGTGTCAGCCTTTTTTTTTTTATTGTATGTGACCTTCACAGCGAGTGGTGAGGGGCTCAGGTGCACCTCCAGCACGCAGGTATGAAAAGAGCCAATCAGCTCATCGGAGGTCATTTAATGCGATGGAACCAAATCGCTGCTAGAACAAAACAATTCATTTGTAGGTTTTGTATAAGAATGAGCACTTTTTCCACAGTGGCTTCGTCTCATGAAGCATTCTGAATAAGAACAAGGACTGCTGCTGCTAAAATCAATCCTGTGGTGTATCAGGAACGTGGAATAAAACGACTGTTCACATCTGTTATGGCCCCCTGGCTCACACACAAAACATGGCTCACACAGCAGGTATTTCATCATGTTTACAGCCACCTGAGAAATCATTGTGATGATTTAACAGAACTGAAATCTTCAAATCAACAATCACAGTGACAGAAATCAAGCAAGAGCGTGTCATCAGCTCATCAGAGGTAGAAAAAAGGGAGAGAGTGGGGGAGGGAGAGAGAAGAGCAGCGAGGAAGGAGAGATGGAGGAAACCATGGTTACAAGGCGAGGATGGAATGGAGGGAGGATGGAAGGGGTCAGGGCTCGGAAGAATGGAGGCATAGCGCGATAGGAAGACAGATTACCTGCAGATGGAGGTTTGTTATGGCTTAGAGTGGAGACGGGATCTTCTCTCAGACGAGGAGAATCTGCGCCTCCCTTTGCAGCAACACCCGGCGATCAGCAGCAGTTACATTCATTCCAGGGTGAACAACAGAAGAGAGAGAGAGAGAGAGAGAGAGAGAGAGAAATCAGGGAGGTAAAGATGGCAGCGTGGTGTGAGCTTTGGTCTGTATCCCTTCCCTCACACGTTAGCCCACAGCCGCCCTTATCTGTCCTCCCACAGCCCGTTGTTTTCCAATCAATAGGCAGCCAGCCCAGCTCTCACAGAGCCTGCGCACTGCCGGGCCTCTGACGATATCACTCAGCCCTCCCTCCCTCCCTCTATGCTTTCTTCCCTCACTAGCCTCTTTTTCTCCTTTTGTCCCTGCCTCCCCCATCCCTCCCTGCTCCCTGCATTAATTCCCCAATATTCATGAGGAGACGAGGAGGAGGAGGAGGAGCAGCAGAAGGTTTGGGGGAAGGAGGAGGATGTTTGTGGCGAACAAGGTAGAGCATTGTGTTTGTTGCCCACCTTCTACCTCCAGTGTCACCACCTTTTCTTTTGTTGTCTGCTTAATCATTCTGCCACGAAACCAAATAAGATGTGTGAGATCGAGCCTACATGTTTGCACAGAGAGAGAGAGAGAGTACAGTTGTAAATTTAAAAGCAGAGATGTAACAAGATGTGCATATCTACATGACTGTCTTCACGTACATTCCTAATGCACTGGATCAACTAGTTCTAATAAAGGGGGAGCATTCGTGCTCAAATTCATGTAAAGTTCCCTGAAAAATGTTTTATAATATCCAGTGCTTGTTCACATCATCATGATAAAGTAAGAAGACACAGAAAGGTACAAGACGTAAAGCATGATACAAATTCATTTTGCTTTTTCGATTAGACAAGAAAATTTCTCAGTTTGGATGTTATGATGAACAGACATAACAGGAAATTTAAAAAAAGGTACACTACAAGTATATCTAAAGTCCAGATTATTGGCTGAGAGTCAGTGTCTTAAAGTTAAAAAAAAAAACAAAAATAAAATATTGGAAATTTCAAAACTAAAATTTACAGCAAAATTACCACTTTTTAGTCTTTAAAATTATTAGATATCAATTCAGTGTTCAGACAACTATGGAGTGGTGAGAGTGCCAAATTCTAAAATTAAATCAATAAAAGAATAATAAAATAAAAGTGGAAATAAAAAGAAAAATAAATAAAATAAGAAATAAAAAATGCGGAAATATATAGCAATAATAATCAAAAAATGAATCCATAAAATAAATGCTGATAAAAGTAGAAATATAAAGACAAATAAATAAAGTAATATAAATAAAAGCAATTTCTTTACTATAATTTTTTTGTTTCATTTTTAATTTATTACTTATTTTTGTTGTTTTTTTAAATAATTTTTTCATTTTTATTTTTTATTATTACTATTATTATATATGATGTCACTTGAAAAGCAAAGGCACAACGACATTCCTACTGCGCACATTTTTCTGTGCCTATTTCCTTTGCTTTTAAAGCGACATTATAAAAAATACATTTAAAAAAAAATGTTTAAAAAATAATAATGAACAAAATTTAAAAAATAAAAATGAATTAAAAATTTTTTTAAATGAAATTTAATTTTTAAATTTTTAAAAAATATATACCTAAAAATAAATAAATTATTATTATTATTATTATTTTGTCTTTATAGTTCTACTTTTATTAGCCTTTTCTTTTATGGATTCATTTTTAATTAATAATGCCATATTAATTATTTTTTATTTCATTTATTCTTCTTTTTATTTCCACTTGTATTTTGTTATTATTTTATTGATTTATTTTTTTAATTTGGCACTCACTACTCCATAGACAACAGGCATTAAAAAATAAAATAAAGTTGCAAAACATCGTAAATTATCATGATGTTTCTCGCTTGCTTCCAAATCTGCTTAATCCCAAATTTCAATCTGTGTTTGGATTTTAGTCCTCCTATCTCAAAGCTCTATCAGCAAACACATGCACTCACATGACATATTTTTATCACACTTACTCTCGTGCTTAGGCTGCAGGATATTATAATATGGCTATCCCCGAGGCCTGGAACATCCTGCTCACAGATCTGAGCAGATTTGCAGATTAGGCTTTTCACAGCCTGATGGGTTTGAGAGAATTGAGAAAATAAGCAGTCAGAGTGTGTTTCACTGAAGGCTTGTTTATGTTGGACATATATATATATATATATCAAGCAATGCTGAGCCTAGTAGCTGTCTCTTAAGTGATGAATATTCTGTTTTTATAGCTGGCGATTAGCACATACCTGAAAAAGCATCAATGAAAACAAGACAGAATAGCACAGATAGATGATTTTAGAAATTGGCAAGCAAATAGAGCAGCCAAAGACAAAGAGGGGAGCTGCACAGTGATGCACTGAAAACATGACGTCAGTGCACAGGAGGAGCTGGGCTGCTCGCTCACATTCGTACTGTACAAAAAAATAAACGTTCCTCCTCACAACCCCAAGTTCATCAGCCTCAGCAGCCGTTTCTTTAAGCTCAAGAAGAAATAAAAAAGAAGAATAGAAAAGGATGAAAGGAGAAATAGCATGTCAGAGGCCTCACATTACCACGGCAACGTGGCTCACACAGGCCAGAGCTGCACAGACGCTGGTTGCCATGGTTGTACTATAACTGCCCTGGCTGAGGAATTACTCTGAGGAACAAGAAAGAGAGAACTGTCACTGTGAAGCCCGTTTGGACCGCTGAACCCACCACAGGAGTGGCTGTAAATGCACCGACTCTATGTGAGGAGGTGTGAGAGACGTAACCTGATGGCTTAAGCTCAGTATAAGCACAAGCTGAAATAAAATAAATACAGAGGAGCATTTATTTGAACAAGCATGCTTGATATAGACATTTTGTGAGCATTTCAATGTGAAGGAAAAATTACTTTCCTTATTTAAAGTTGATCTTTTCGAGACTATATTGAACCCTGATTAGGTAAATGTCATGCTTGTAGCAGATGTGTAGCTTCTATAGATTCTTAAAGTCATGTAGACCTCATCGTAGGAGGACAGGCAAGACCGCCTGCACCTCTCAAGGCCAGATGACATCCATGCGCTGACTTATCTTTGTTTCCCTTTCTCCCATGAATCTGGATGTGACTCCCGCTGAAGGAGGATGTAAGACTAAGGATGTGAGAGGGATCTTTAGAAGTGATGCTGGCGTTGCATGAGTCGGGCTCCTCATCCTACATCAAGCTCTTCCAGAGTTTCCACAGCATATATCACTGCTTGATGAAAGACGACAGCTGTGATGATGAAGGGACAGAGGTTCCCTCTATGTTCAGGTGTCATTACCACTCAAAGACTTCATTATCAGCCTCCAGAGATGAGTTCATCTTAACCTGCTAATGAGCTGTTGCTGTGAATAGTCAAGACTCTACTTCTGATTTTGTGGTCATGTAGATCTTAAAAACCAACGTGTTTCCAGAAGCAGTCCTCAGCCCCCACCATATGGATCCTGTAGTATTATACGGCATTACATTCTGTTTTTATCACCTACTTACAGTAAAGCAGCGAAATAATGAGCAAAAAGATTGAAATGAAATTGACAGGATGTACTAAAAACAGAAGAAGTAGAAAACAGGAAGACCATTTAGAATGAATTACAAATGAAAATAAAAAATGTGTTGGAAGTTGTGTCATAACTTATTAAAACAATATCGAACCAACTATTTACAACATTGACATCGCTGGAATGAATTCTGGCTCCACAGCTAGGCCTGCTCAGTGGCTGACGGGTCCTCGTCCTCCTTCCTCCTCCTCCTCCTTCTCCTTCCTCCTCCTCCTCCTCCTCATCCTCCTCCTTCCTCCTTCCTCCTCGGGGGGCGATAATTGTTAGTAGGCTTGTTCTGAAATATTCAAATATTCTTCTGTTACAGCGGTATTTCAATATTGATAAAGAAATCAGTTTCAGGACTGACGTTTCAAAGGTTGGGTTAATGAATTACAATTTAAAAAATCAAGTAAGATCTCTTTTTAGAAACAGCGTCTGCATCACTCGATGACTGCACTTAGCAGCTTTAACGGGAGACACATATTCCAGGGGATTTCATGCATAAGAATGTTCAATATTACTCTTTCAGGTACATGTTCAGGCATATGTATATGCATGGAGAGAGATCTGAATGTGTCAAAGCATTACAACTGGTTTTATCAGTGAATGGCTGCATGTTTGAGTGCTTTCGTTACCATCAGCACAAGCCGGGTTATGACCACAAAGCTCACACCGGCATGCGGGTGACACTCCCGCATTGTGTCCTAAAGAGGAACAGAACAAGATTTTGATCATTCACCGGCTGGCAGGTGTGAAATAACTGAAACTGACCGTGGTAGGCAGCCATAGCATACAACCACCAGTACCCTATATACCAGTAGTGTGACTGACCTAGTTTGCCAAAGAGCTCCACTCCCAGTGCAGCACAGATGTAACAGAAGAAGAGGAAGAGCAGACAAGTGTTTCCAACCTGGAACCGAAATTCAGATGCTGTCAAGCTGTCAAATTATTCCGTGTGTCTTAATTAAAAGGAGCTGCAAGCCTTGATTTAGCCATTTTTTTGTGTTCTCTACCATTTGCCAGATTCATCAACTCAACACAGATCCAGAAGGGACATGTTTATTTGTGCACAAAGCAAAATCACTTATAAATGCTTTTATAATAAATCTGACTGAAAATATCACCCACAAACTGTCTGTGTTTACCTGTAACACTGTCTTAGTAACGGTTTTCATCCGCCACTTCCATGTCCATGGAAAGTATGCCGGTGATGGAAGCCAAGACGATAGCAACATCCAACAGATTCCATCTAAAAACACACATCATGTCACACATTAAGCACTTAAAAAGCCCAACGAGCAAAGGAAAATAAAGACGTTAAATTGGGTGATTTTAACGTGTTACCCGTTTTTCAGGAATCTCACGACACCAAATGCCACAAGTTTTACTTCGATGGTTGGGACGATCGGGAAAACATCCTGAGAGGACTCAAGAAGCTTCCGGATGGACTACACACACACACACACACACACATACACACACACTTTTTAAGTATTTCTACACTTGAACTATCAACAGTGACACCATGTGGTGTGCATTGTGCATTACCTCGAGGCTGATTGTAGTGATCGGCAGCCATGATCACGGCATTCATTGGTGACGATAACAAATGGTATGAAGCCATCCAGCAACTATTTCAATGTCGACAAAAAAGCTCGTTTCTCGGTTGACTGTACAGCTCTGATCATGTTCATTGAATTTCCCTTCTGGGATAAATAAAGTATTTTTCATTCATTCATGTCATTCTTTTCAAAAGAAAACAAGCCTTGACTATACACACAGACCCAGAAATACTAGAAAATATATCTTAATTCTGGTTTTAAATTTGCAAGTATTAAATCAGGGTCTATTTAGTCGAGATGCAGAACTTATTATTTTAGTGTTGTAAAGAAATCACAAAGAAGTGGTTGCTGATGTGCTGTTGATGGATAGGGACCAGGATAAATATTCTTTGGTTCACTTCTAGAGCAGTACGTTGCTCTTGTAATTGTACAGCCATTTAAATACATAACTCACCACTATGTACAGTGTCACCACAAAACTATCTAAACTGCACTAGACACCTTATTTAGGATGTCCCTCTCTCTCGGATCAGCTCATCTATGGCTTTCTTGTCTGCCTCCACTTGCTTTTGGGAAGATTCAAGATCTGCAGAGAGAGAAAGAAAGAAGCAACTGGTGTGTGTGTGTGTGTGTGTGTGTGTGTATTTAAGGTGTGTGTGCAAATGAATCTGTAGGTGTNGTGTGTGTGTATTTAAGGTGTGTGTGCAAATGAATCTGTAGGTGTTGGAAACATACATGTGTATATATGTCATTTTTAACATTATTTTTTCATGAAGTTATTGTTAAAATCAGTTTATGTTCATCAATTGAATTTCCCTTCTGGGATGAATAAAGTATTTTTCATTTCATCATCTCATCAGTCGTTTAGAATGGAGACTGATGAGCTCACAGGGATCACACTGAGGGGAACACAAACTGGGAATACAGGAGATATCCGTTTATGTCAGTGTCTAAGTGGCTGCAACAGGTTGGTCGCTACAAACAAATGTCATCCTCAGTCGTAAGTTTTTGGTTGTATCATTCTGAATGCCTCAGTTACATCATTTCACCGTTTAGACACTAACCAGCGCCGGGGGAGGGATAAGTTGGTCGCGTGGTGCGTCGGATATATTCCGGAATTGGTGAGTCTGCCTGTTGTTGTTAGCATTAGCATTAGCATTAGCATATGCCGGTCTCGTTTGTATGGACTGGCTACGGTACACCTAGCTTTTAAATGCTAATGCTCATGGTATCTGGAGATGAATGTGCCACTACAGCACCACTACAGAATGTTTACGTTGATCTTGAACTGTGTGAATGTATGTTATTTAAGAAATGAGTGAAGTAGGAAGATTTTTCATGATTAATTATGAAGTGACTTGATGTTAACCCAAATGCACTTTATTGAGAAATGGTTATTCTCTTGCTGCTCATGAATTATGTATTAATTATTGTGTACACTGAATATAACTAGTTGATGAAATGTTAAGGTGTGGTCCTGTTTACATTATACAGGCCAGGGTACCTGTAAGGACGCAGAATCGAATCGATGGCGAGCTAAGACACTGGAGCCGAGCAATCCCAGTTAAGGGCCCCTCCTGGTCTGGTAGGAGGCGCACACACACACACACACACACACACACATGCACTTGCACTTTAAGTCATGGACTGTTAACATCCTGGGACTCTACCTTTGTAGCTCACATGCTGGGCGATTTTTGTGCGCCTCATATTTCATGAACTTTATGCTTTTGCAACACTCAATATTGTGTGTAGAACAGCTGCCATAGTGGCCGAAACAGAGACTGGTTGTTGTTGAATGTGTCAGTGCATCACAAATGTCAAGTGCACTTTTCCAATGAACTCTGCAGACTGTAGATACTGGTTTCCACTGTATATACTGTCACATATTAATACATGATACCAACTGCATCTGAAGTTGTATGTGTGTTTCTTTACTGTACCACTACCTCCAAGAGCTGAATCTGTCTTCTGTAGACCTAGGCCCAAATTCTAGCTTAATGCTGATGGCTTTTCAAGCCCTAATCTAGTCTGTGTACTTGCTGCACATGTGTATGTCTATGATACATCAAATACCCGTACCTTTCTCCAGGGCAGTTATCTGAGCTTTCACTGTCTCCCTGTGCACGTCCACGTCAGCCTTCTGATCCTCCACCTGGTGGAACTTCTTCTGAACTTCTTCTCTCATCTTTATTTGTTTGGCAACCTCCTGACGCATCTGAATCACCTCCTCTTCAGTCATCTGGCCAGTGGAAGGGTTGGCGTTGTATGAACAATTACACACGAGGAGGGAGGGGAAAAGGTTTTGGATGGCATATGCTACTGTGCATCCACAAGACAGTGATACAAATCTGGCTTGTTGTGCATTTTGATGACTGTTTAAAGTGTCTAAACAGTGGCACCTTGTGGTTCCAGCGAGCACAGTCGCATCATTTACAATCGCTTACCCTCCACTAATGTTGGTCTGAAAGTGGTCTAGACGTCTGTATTGCTTGGTAACCATGTACCTTAAGATCATTTGCACTCTGTTGATTTTCTAGGGCGAGGTGTTCTCTGGCAGACGAGAGCTGCTCACATTCCTGCTGCAGCTTGGAGTTCTTCACCTGCATCTGCTCTAGCTCCTTGGTGGATCGCTCATTGAAGATCTGTCAGTGTCAGGGAAGGAAATTATGTTCAGTACCCCTCTCCAGTACACTCTGTGTTATCCACATGAATGTTACGGTAGCCATCCAAGAGATGCATGTGTAGGGGTTTTTAAGTTTCCTGATGTACCTTCTGGTTCTGTTGAATGCACATTGTTTTGTAGGTTCATATAATGTGTTACTGGCCCACACATTTGGCTTTAATTAACATATACCTAACTATACATCCATTTTGCTGGTGTATGGATAGGTGACAGATGAGTATAAAAATCTGAAAAATTGCAGGCGCTTCCAGACACTAAATGATCTACATGAAAACACTCTGAATATGACCTACACAGCCACCAGATTTCAACCCACTGTATCCTGTCTTGCTCTTGTTTCCTTTTACTCACAGCATCTAGTTCAATGTTATATGCATATGTGTGGGGAAAAAAAATTAGCAAAATGATAGTAATTGGTTTTCTAAAAAGCCCTCTGTACAGTCTGCAGTCCCCCCTGCCTACCTTTAGCTCTTTTAGCTGCTGCTCAAGTCTCTGCTGCTCGTCTTCGGCCTTTTGGCTCTGCAGGTTTAGAGCTTTGATGTCACCCATCTTGGCCTCCATGTCGATATGTAGCTGCTTTACCTCCTTGTCCAGTTTCTCCTTCAGCCTTATCTCTCGGGAAATCTCATTGTGTTGTCCCTGAAGCTCCTGCTGGAGCTGGGTGTAGACAGGCAGAGAAGCAGTAGGTTGGCGTCACAGCCGAAGTTAATTTTGCTTTATTCGTCAGTGTTTTTCCGCAAAGCAGCATGTGTTCCTCCCAGGGGATACTGGTGAAATTGAATCTGGAGCTAAATTCGGTAATTGTTGCCAAAAGTGATGAATCCTACCAAATTGGAGAAGACTCCATTAGTGCCTCTTTAGTCTGATAATGTGATATTTACACTTTTGTGCAATGTTTTTGGAACCAGAAATTACTCATGTACTTCAAAAAGCCGTTAGTACACAAGTTAATACGTAAAATCTGTAAAAATGCTAAACTTCGCTGTGAGTTAAAAATCTAACGATCTTACAGTAACTCTCTCTTGATTGAAAGCCTCATGAAAGAGTTTATTTTGCAGATATGGGAGAGTAAATGACTCAAACACTGCCCTATGTGCAAAATAGGGTCGTGTTTATTCTCCTTGTATTTCCCCCAGTAGCTTCCATCCATCCATTACCAAGTCAGAATCACCAATGAACCTCAGCATGTTTTTGGACTGTGGGAGGAAGCAGAAGAACCCGGTGAGAACCCACACTGCACGGGAAGAACATGCAAACTCCATGCAGAAAGATCCCAGTGGCCCCAACCACCTTCTTGCTGTGAGGCAACAGTGCTACCAACTGCGCCACCTTGCAGTTTGGACTAAAGCACTTATGCTTTTAGTCATATTGGATAGACAGGATCTGTCTCCCAAAAGACAGAGCTGGGCAGACTCAGGTAAGAGTGTACCCAACCGTTCTTCATACGTTTAAATTATTTTCTTCCATAATGGTTGAACCACATGGCATGAATAAATGTCCTCCATAGCTGTTACATTTCCAACACATACTATTCTGAAGGATGCCCATTTTGAACAGCGTTGTCGGCGTAAAATAATATTGACGAATAATCTTATAATGAATGAGCTTTCCTCGTGCCTCTCTTGTGAACCATCCCATACAGGAAATTCTTGCATGCCACGAGTCCTTATCTATGTCCACATACAGATCCCGCTGCCAAACAAGTCTTAGACTCTCACTGTTATCGTACATTGCTCTAGATGACATTTTATAAAACATAGAAGCTGACTGACACTTGTGAGGTAGTTTAAGGTAAGCCTGTACAACACTGTCTTGTTCAGGTATCTGCTTAAGTATCTTACTCAGAACACTTCTTATTTGCAAATATTTCGGATTTATTGCTCAAGTTAAACTGATCCAGGGAAGCTTTTACTGTTTTATCCTCAACAAGATCTGCAATACTTCTAATGCCCCTAGACAGCCAGGGAGCCCAAAAAACAACTTTCCCACCTGCTTTTATAGCCGGGTTGTTCCAAAATGATGAATATAGCTACTTTTAGGGGGAGATCCTGAGCAGTTTATGAAATTTAGTTCAAACATTTCTAGAATGCTGCAAAATTGGATTAAGCTCTCTGCCTTTACACAGGATTCTTTGTGACAGAACATCAAATGGACTGAAGGGGGCGGTATTGTTGTGTTCAATAGTTCCCCACTCCACATCATTACACCTCCTTTTGCAGTGATTCACAAGTTTGTTCATCTCAAAGGCCATGTTGTACAGCTCTACATTTAGTAATGACAGCCCGCCATCCCTTCTTGTTACAACTTCTGTAATTTTATCCTTGGCTTTTTGCCATTCCACAGATAATCTGCTATCATTTGATTGTATTGCTTAAAATGTTCTCCCGATATTGAAATTGGAAGCATCATTGACAAGTAATTGAATTGCCGTGCAATAACCATTTTCACAGTGTTTATCTTCCCCCAAAGGCTTAGATTCAACATTTTCCACTTTTCCAGGCTAATTCTTGATTTTAGTAAGGAGAGAAGTCATATTAATTTTCATTATTTCTGATAAGTCAGCACCTAATTTCACACCCAGGTACTTCATCCCTGTTGAAAGCCACTTAAAATTACCTACACTGACCATATGTAGCACCTTTAGGCCTAACTTTTAGGTTAAAGAGATACTCACATCGCTCTAGGTCCAATAGGAGCTGCACCAGGAAGGAACTTGCAAAAAGGAGTGGGTGTTGGTATTTGAACAGGTGATACCTTAATATCAATACAAAACAGACTGATAGACGATAAAAGCCTCTCCTTAACCCCTTAAGACCTGACACTTCCTGTCCACAATTACACACAGAGGCACTTTATATGCCTCACACATGAAGGGAGTCCACTTATTACACAGTCTGCACTTCCTGCGCCCCTGTGTAGCTTCCTTTGAGCCAGATGCCTCCTCAGCGATGGCAACAAGGATGTGCTGGTAGGTCTCCGGGACTGGTTGTGAGGGCACTCCACACAGCTCGACTGCCAGACGGCTCCTTGTGCAGCAGGTAGCTGTTTGTTACTGCAATGTCCACAAAGTGGTGCAACACGGTCACATAGCACTTCCTGCTCTTTCTCCATGAGGAGTAAAAGCCAATCAGCTGGTCTGACAGGTCGATCACCTCTCCACTGCCCTGTACTTTCCACCAACCTTGGATGCTCTTTTACAGAGTCCCCTGAGAAAGCAGTGTGCAGAGAGGAGCACACACTCACCTCCCTCGTGTCCATCCACTTGATGAATATGAGAGCTCCCTCTCTGATCCACCTGATGGTCCCTCGGGGTGATTTTTTTGTTCAGGGCATTCAGCTTAGTTTTTGGGATGCCAACTCTTGTATCCAGAAATGTCCCACAGGCTCCAAACCCCAGGTCATGAAGGTGGTTGAACAGTGCTGGGCTGATGTAAAAGTTGTCACAATAAATGCGATATCCCGATCCCAGGAAGTTTTTGTTGATGAGTGACACCACAGCATCAAACGACAGCCCCTTCCCAGTGACCAGAGTGGACATGCCTGTGTAAATGTTGAAGTCAACAGTGTAGCCTGTGTTGTCTGACAGCACATAAAGTTTTATCCCCCATCTTGTTGGCTTGTTCTTCATGTTCTGCTTCAGAGCAATTCTGGCTTTGGTGGCGACCATGCGCTCATCCACAGACAGGTTTCGCTGGGAGTGGTACACATCTTTGCAGGCGAAAAAAATGATTAGACCACCCTTGTTTTCTTCCATTTCTTGTTCATTTGAATGCCTGGTACCACTCAAGGTACATTACCTGAAGAGTACAATGAACATGACAAAAACTGCAGCTGGTTACATCATACTTTATGTCCTATTTGACATGCTTAAGCTTCATTGTATTCCATTTTAAGCAACACATTTTGCATTTTATGCAACATGCAGAGACCTACAATGGTTTCCTGCTTACATTCAATCCGTAGCACAGCTCAGTCGTTGTCAGCTCTCACATAATACCTAAAACAAAAGAATTATGTGAAGCCACAAAGGCAGCCATCTTGGCTCTGCTGGAAATTGGCACGAGTGAGAAACAGGTAGCGAAAAAACTGAAGATCTCCAAGACAGCCGTTCATTGCACCAAGAAAAAAACAAGCCCAACATGGTACTACCAAACTGCTAGCTGGTCGGAGCAGGAAACGTCTTTCTACCCCACGAGATCACCATGCACTCATCTGTTCCTGTGTCAGGAATCAACGTCAGACCTCCAGGGACCTCGAGAAATGTGACTTGTTCGGCAAGGACAGTTTGAAGGACGGTTACTCTTTGCTGGGGATCACAAGGATTGGACTGCTGATGATTGGGCGAAGGTTCTCTTCAGTGATGAATCCAAATTGATGCCCACTCCAGCCAACTTACTTGTTCGGAGGAAGCCTGGAGGAGCCTACAGACCAGACTGTCTTGCCCCTACAGTAAAACATGGGGGTGGATCAGTGACCATCCGGGGTTGTTTCAGTATGGGTGGAACAGGGCAAATGCAATTGTGTGCCAAGACACATGGTTGTAGTCATCAAAAACAGTGGTTATGCAATCAAGTACTAACTCCCGTGTGTATCATGTGACCAAAACAGACAGAAAAGAAAACATGGAATTCCTAGAAGCACTGTTTTTGGCTTGGCACTTTAGTGATTTTGGTTTTTATCAAGTAAACCCTGGGAAATGGCTAGATATCAGCTCTTAAATTAGACTCTTATGAGCTATTTTTATTATATTTGTCCAAGCAGATGTACCTTTAGTTCTACTAGGCATTAAAATGAACAAGAATATGAATGAATATATCAGTTACAGGGAAGCTAACAGCTATTCTGCATATGTAAAATATATAAATATATATATAAAAGATTTACTTGTCATAACAACCATCAGTGCGCTTTAATTCCATTTTTTCATCCTGAAGTTATTTTTCACAATTTGTCAAGTCGTTACATTCCACATTGTCTGTCATCGTTGTCTCGTAACATGCATTAGGTAGCAAAGTTGTCATTATAATTTAACAAGATAGTCTTCATGCTGTTTTTCTTTTTACTTGGTACAATGTTGTCTCTTGAAAAAGTCTTTAAAAAGTATGAAAACTCAAAGAATGCACTTCACTGCAAGCAGTCTTCACCATAGCTCAACTTTTAATTTAAAACGCACGTGTTGTTCGGTTGCAGTTCGTCTGCTGAAACATCCAGGAAGTCCTTTAGTCGTCCTGCTTGGGTCAAGTCAAATGTGCACATATTGTACGCATCATATCAACCTGCTGGTCACTTATTTACTTCCCCTGTTGGAACTGAAGGAAGAAAAAACAAACAATTTGCAAACTTTTAACCACCTGTGTCTCCATGCGGCTTGCTGGGAAACTTACTGAGTCATCCATTCAGTCCAGGCAGCTCTACTCCATTCTGGTTCGAAGCAGACCGTTGTCTGCTGTCCGACGAGAGTCCGTTAAACAGACGGCCCAATACTGCCAACTTCTCTGAGTGTAAAATTAATTACCAAACTGACGTGAACCTATTAATTAGGCACTTGAACTTTGGATCTTGTACACTAACAAAGCAGTTATGTAGCAATCGCTGTATCGTGCCGTGAATTTTATAATCTTTGGCACTTGACACTAAACTTTTAACTTATACTGTAAATCGTTAGCTAATGTGTTAGTGTGAGCAGCTGAGCAAGTTTGCAATTATAATATTTCACTGCTGCACTACAGTCCATCAGTGCAACGGGATCCACAGCATTTCATCTTGGCTCATTAGGGAACCCATTTCCCTCAAGCAGACTGATGCGCTTCTCCTCAGTTTCTGTCTTCACTGTGTCTATATGTTTCTCAGATTGTCTGGAGACCTTTTTTCCATTAGTGAAGGTCAATCGTTTATGCACGGACGCGCGGGTAAACGGCAGTTTTCTGCGAGACGACCCTCGGCAGCGCAGCAGCTCTCCGTAGGCCTTGCGGAAATCCCTGTTGAAGGCTGGATACAGGATGGGATTAAGGGCTGAGTTAAAATAACCCATCCACAGGACTATTGAGTGAAGTGTATTTGGGGGGTTCATCTTTTCCTTTATGCCTTTGCAGGTGAAGAAGGTGAAGTAGGGAAACCAACAGATGACAAAAGCGCCCAGTACAGCTGCCAGGGTCACTGTGGCTTTGTGCTCTCTGGCTATAGCAGCAGTCGCCGTGCGTGCGGAGGACGGGGTGGTAGCACGAATACGACGCGCCTGCAAAGAAGGATAGAGAGCCAGAGGACACAGAAAAGGAAATCTTAGGCTTTAGCTTGCATACTGACAAAATAATACAAGATTTACCATTCCAAGGCAACACGACCTTGGATGGATGTGTGTGTGTGTGTGTCTAGTAATATCCAGAATAATAACTTCAGACAGTTGCACAAAGTAGTTTAAGCCTTAAGTTATGACCTCTTATGTGCATCACAGTTTACATAACCATGAGAAACACTGACCTGTTCTCGGGCCACTCTGAATATGCAAAGATACATTCCACACATAAGCACCAGAGGCAGGTAAAATGAGCCAAAGGTATAAATAAGAACATAGTTGTTATTCCATTCGAACTGGCAGTAGCGTCCCTCCTCCTCCTCGTCTCCCATGCCCCAGTCCGAGTGCTGCACTCTATAGTCTGCTGTGTTCCATCCCAGGTGGATGGGCACGAAGGACACAGCTACTGACAAGGTCCAGATGGCGGTGATGACCAGCGCCACCCGTAGAGGGGTAACTCTCCGGGAGTGGCTGAGGGGAGCTGAGATGGCCAGGTATCGGTCCACGCTGATTGCCAGGAGGGTCAGGATGGAGGCTGTACACAGCATGACATCCACTGAGATGTAGATGTTGCACAGGGCTCCTCCGAGGGGCCATTTCCCGCTGCGCAGCTCCACAGTGGCAGACAAGGGCATCACCAGCAGGCCAAGCAGGAGATCCGTCACCGCCAGCGACACGACAAAGCAGTTCGCAATGCGCCACAGTCGGCGGCTGAGCCCGACGGCCAAGCAAACCAGCACGTTACCGCCAATGGTCAGGATGATAAAGAACAGCAGGACCAGCCAGCGGAGAGCTGTGGAGATCATGATGCCCTCCTCCTCCTCCTGCGCTGGGAAACGGTGCTGCTATCTCAGTAGAAACTCTTCAAAAGGACTCATCCACGTGTCTTTAAAGTTTCCCAGCTACTGCAAATTCACTTTCCCGTCAGACAGTCCTCTCCATGGTGCCTGTGTTCAAAGGTAATTAGGTTCAGAAGGAGATCAGTGAGTGGAAAGCACTTCCGAGCCATGTCTTTTTCCAGAGTGCCACTGACAGTGAGGAAAACCCGTCCCTGGTGGAGAACAAGAACAGCAGTGAATACTTCAAAAATGTACATTTCGCCATCTATTTTTTTTTCTATTTTATTATTGACATACTTCAAAACAGTGTTTATCTAGTGGATATTTAATGAAATAGTCTAACTGCAGCTGCCAGATAATGGTCAAATTGACAAAAATTGTTCGTTGGGAATTTGTTTTGGGAGTTTTTTTGGGTTTTTCCTTTAAATTTTCTTGTTGCCTTTTCGGCGGGTTGGAAATTTTGTTAATTTTGGTTTTCCCTTTCTTCTTGTTTTTGAAGTTTGGAGGTTTTTAAAAAAAAAGAAGTACGTCGAATCTGTGTGTTCAATAATATGTCAGAAAATAGGCCGCTGTTCCTTTTTTTTTTAATGCGATTGTCATATTGATGTGTCTCTTCAAGATTTCATTAAATTCCTCAAATCTCATCTCAGTGCATCACTACTAAATATCTTGAAGTTTTATTAATAAAATAATCCCTGAAAAAATTGAAATTCAACTCTGTGCTGTTGCTTGTGTGGATCTATTTCCTGCCACTTTCCTCACTCATTCATCCATCTTGCTGCAGCTTAAGCACACCAGCTCTCCTACGACTCTAAAACTGCTTCATACTACACAGGAGCAAGCTGTAATATTGTACTTTAGCTATACATATTCAAACTAGAAACTGATTCTGAAGAAGAATAAGGACACAGAGAGCTCCTCTCTGCAAGCTGACGGTATCGGTTCTTTAGGTTTGTTTTGTGTACAACCCTGAAGATCTGTATCTGTGCTTTTTTTTTTTTCTTGTCACATAAAGGGCAAACCTTTTTAACATCAAATACCTATTCTGAAGCACATATCTGTAATTCTATTTATTCTAGATAAAAAGAACATTTCCGATATCCACAATGTCATTCTTCCGAGGACACGGTTACGCGTACAGTGTTTCTCATTAAAGATATCTCAAATTCAGCTGCAGATATCCGCAAGTCACGTTGCAGATATGTGCAGCTGAATCGTGACTAGTTGTGATTCTAATTTCGGATATCTACGGTACATTTCTGGCAAGTGATAACTCTAGTTTACAATACCCATAATTCTCCTTAGTTCAGGATGTCTGCATCCCACATAAAGGACAGGTCAAAATGATAACGTAGACGTCTCAAACTGGTATTCTGCCCAGTCATAATGTCATATCTTGAATTCGAGTTTTGACAAGGTGAGGTGAGGTGACACACCATAGCACTGCAACCGTAACTGCATATAAAAAAAAAACATTGCATTTCAGAGCAGCTTGAGGCCAAAGTTGTATTAAATTTTGACCACAAGTCTGTAATGAAGGAAACTGTCACTCTCACAAATTCCCTACTGGTACGTTCTTTAGTTTTATGGTATTTCTAAAGCTCTTATCCACTTCAGCAACTGCTAACACCATTAAAAGGTTTTGTTGGAGTAATATCCAATAAGAAGTCTTGCATGAACAATGTCATACACAACAATTTGAGTTTGGTCATAATGATAGTTTGTTCCATTCAGTTATAACTGATTTTTAGATATATCTATCTATCGTTTCGACTCATTAGAATGACGTTATAGATGTCTGAAGTAAAAATTCTAACTAGTCACAGTGTCATGACAACAGGCAAAATGGTGTAAATATCTCTAATTTTAATTCCAGATAGTCAAGCTTAGCTATTACATGTTAAAATATCTTGCTGTAGTCTTTACAATTTAAAAGTTAAATACTCAGCCATGGTGCTGACTGCTTATTTTGCTCATGATGTGTCTTCCAGCTTAAAAAGCGACACCACATGGACACGTTAACAACTTTATCATCACTGGAGGGGGTCCAAAAAAACCCAAACTCTATCTGATTCAATGTATTTACAGCTGTACAATCTGCTTTTTAAGAAAAATGCAATCTAATGTGTCATTGTATTCCTTTCAGCTAATGGGCTGAGTGACCTTTGCTGACCTGTCCGTCACTTTTGACTCTTGGCTCTAAACGGTTCAGTTGCTGGATTAAAACAGGGAAGGATCATGAAGATAATTTCCTATATGCTATCCTAGTCCCTAACCTCACATGCTTATAACAAAATGTAGTTTAGCTGAATGTAAACATCCATATCTGTACACATTTAGGGGCCAAAATTAAAAATAACTCCACCACACTGACGCAGCTGGCTTGTAGGTGGTGTTGTGTAGCGCACGTCTCGGGTTGCTGTAATCTAATCTCATCTTCACTAATCATACTAAAGAGAAAAAAAGCCACATACACTGGTGAGTGCATGTGTGTCCGTACCAGAAATTCAAACAAAATTGTAGAGGTAAACAAATATACTACAGATATTAACTCAAGACCACAATATACTACCATTTAGATTCAGGTCAGATACAGTATCACACAATATATCATCCTCCTATGTACATGTGACCTCCATAAAGTGGTCATCCACCCACAAGTTCAACAAACAGTAATAACTTCCTCAATCCCACTGCAGCACTCTTGAACTTCTAGCAGTTCCACATAGCATAAAACATAGAATCATTCCCTATGCTTACAATGCCAGTACCTCTATCCATTGCAATGCTTAAGAAGGTTATGCAGCTCCTGCAGTTTCTCTCCCCAGTCAATTTACTGTCTGTAATTTCTGCTGGAAGTAGACATTTTACAAATTAAACAGCAATCTTCTTAATGGAATTTGACAATAATTGGTCTAGAGGTACATACAGTATATCTATAAAATGAGTAATGGACTTGGATGATCTAGAACACACAGAGCGATAAAGAGAACGAGCCTTTGTCTATGTCGAGCTAAGAGAGCTGGTCCCTGGAGACGCCAACATTTAGTAGAGAGGAGAAGCGTAGGCTGCGCTATATTATCACTATCAGGGTGACGCAAGGCAAGATCTGGAAAACAAACCATAAAACATTGTGCCCCAGTCTAAGGAGTCATACAAACAAGTCTAAGCTCCTTAAGTAGTGAAATATTACAAAAGAAAAACAATGCTGTGTATCCGACCATGGATCCTGCTTTAATAATAGACTTAAAGATCATGTTTTGTTGATAAAGTCAGGCGTCACTAATGTCTCTTAAAACTGCCATTTGCTTTTGAGACAAACACAATATATATATATATATATATATATAGAGAGAGATAAAGTTGTGGTCAGAAACAATCTACAGACTTTCTCTAATGCTCTCTTTCAAAACCCCAGCTGTCCCGTTTTGCAGATACTGATGAATGCAACTCATACATAGATTTGAAATCAATAAGCAAATAAAGCAGAACACTTTCCAGTAACAGCTAATTTAATTTGATGACGTCAACCTAATATTTGTTTTCATGTTCCACTTGCTCCATTGCATCACCCACAAGCTGTAAATGCATTTAAAACTGAAATTAGACACATGGTAATCGGCACAGTGATGTCATGGGGTGTTTCTAGTGTTTTTATAAGCGGGTAATGCTCAACCTGCTGTGACCTGTGTAACTGCCCCGGGCTGTTCTTTGACAGTTATATGTACTGTATGTTTATTAGTGCTACCTTATTTGCTATCAGTCCGGCTATTTAAAGTACTCCCATAAAGGCAAATGCTCTTATTAGGGTGTGATGATTCTAAAGCAGAGGTGTCTTTTATCACAGTAGACTGATAGAAACTTGATGATACTGTAATTAAGAGGCTAGATTATGTCAAAAAGGTCAGATGGTTATCATTTATTATTGCAGCAAAGCTGCAACTTCTGGGGCTCACAATGAGACCAAGATAAAGGTGTCAAAAACTGCAGTTCCTCAAATGTCCACTTGAGGTTGGCTCCAAAAGTAAGTGAATCCCCATAGACCAGGGGTGTCCAATCCTGGTCCTTGAGGGCCACAGTCCTACATGTTTTAGATGTTTCCCTCTTCCAACACACCTGATTCACATGATCAGGATGGTTATCAGGCTTCTGCAGAGCTTGATGATGAGCTGGTCATTTGAATTGTGGCCCTCGAGGACCAGGATTGGATACCCCTGCCATAGACCCAAATTTGAACATGTCCAACGTCACGGTAGGAATAAATATGTTTACAGTTAAGTGCACAAACGGTTTTGGTCGCCATAGCTAAATTCTGCATTTGTGACAATTGCACAGGGAGTATATGTGTAAATTTAACTCACCTGTGTGTCGTATAACGGCTTAAAAGTGGACTTTTCAACGCTATTATTCGCTCTTTCTCAGTATCTATCTATCTGCAGAGTTTCCTGAGAGACTTGTCCGTAGTTCATAGAGAAATTGGTGACACATATATAGTTGGTTGTCCTGCCCTGACATAATGTACACAAGCATAGATGGTTTAGGAATGAAAGTGTTCAGGAGTGGGCCACGGAGTCTCAAAACTGCCCATCAGGAACCTGTGGGTGGTTTGTCTATCTTTATATATCATCCATGCTCATTACACTATTCCCATATACAGGATACAACTACTTATAGCTTTCAAGCAAAAGCAAGAACAGCTATTTTTCATTTGATCTATTTCTAAAGACTTCTTTGTTAACTGTTAAAACCACTCAGCTATCTACAGTAAATTAAAACAAACCATCAATCATGGCTATATGCATTTAACCCACTTTGACTTCTCTGACCTCCTCGTGGAAGAGGGGAATTAAAGGCCTCTAGTTTTGGCAAACGTTTAAAATCTTGTATAGAAGATGTAACACTTGTGTGGCTGTTGTACAGCTACTGTGTGTCCGTCTAGAGTGGCCCCTTCTACTGACCTGTCTATGCAAACATAAATACCACAGTAACACACACAGATAGATGAAGTGTGAATCAACATCACCTCCAATGTTGTGACACACATTTAACAAGACAAACAGCTCATTTACATTTTGTGTACTAAGTACAGGAGAAGGAAAACCCAATGGAAGTAACGCGTCTCTGCAGGAAACTCTTAATCATTTGTTCTGACCCTGTTCAGGGTTTTCCCAG